TATATATATATATATATGTGTAGATATTCTGAAAAAAGTATTATTTTTTAATTCTTTAAATAGCATCAGAAACAGAATTAGGAGCTTCTTTTAAAAAAATGACTCAGATGGTTGTTAATGCCAATGCTGGTGGAGAAACTGCAGATGGTGAGCCTATCAATGCTGATTTCCAATCAGCTATTGCACAAGCTTTAAAAGACTTATCCGTTACATCCGAAAATTTGCAGGTAACAAAAAATCCTTAAAAAATGATTATAACTATTCAGTGACATGAAATTAAAGTTAACAATACTTCAGAATGAACCAGATCTTGCCTCAATGTTTGGGCAAATGAATTTAGAAGAAGGCGCAGGTGATATATTACCATTTATGCAGGGCATGATGCAATCCCTTTTATCTAAAGAAATATTATATCCATCATTAAAAGAACTAGTAGATAAATATCCTGAATGGTTGGAACAGAAAAAAGCAACATTACCTTCGGCTGATCTACAAAGATATACTAAACAATTAGAACTAATGCAAAAGGTTTGTTTTTTTTATAATTACAAATATATAACATTAGAAAGAGAGAACGTGATAATTAATTTTGAAATATTTACTATTTAAGATTTGTAATGAATTAGAAAAAGAACAGAGTACTGATACAGACGAAGCTAAAAGAAGACGTTTTGAAGTAATATTGTCTCTTATGCAAGATATGCAAACTTATGGCCATCCTCCTGAAGAACTTATTGGAGAACATCCAGCTCTTTTCCAATTCGACTCTGATGGTAATCCTATTATTCAATCATTACCTCCTGGAGTAGAAACTCCACAAGATTGTTGTATTATGTAAATATGATTACGTTGTGTAGATTTTTCTATATAAATGAACATACCCATTTTATCAATAACACGTAAAAATGATTGCAGTCAAAATCGAAAATTTTAAATTTACATTATGTAACAAGTTTATATAAAATTAGAAATATTCTAGAGATCTCTATTCTTAGAGAAATAAAAGCAAATTTTTTAATATGGTCAATATCTTTTTTAGAAAAATAAAGATAGATATTTTGTATCAATTGTATATTATATACAATAATTTATATAACAGTTAATATAATATTATGGTATATACATGACTAAAGACTGGTTTGTTTGTTTTTACATAAAATAAATTTATGAACAAGTATTTAGTATTGTTCATTTTATACGTTTGTTTTTGCATTCATTAACATTAATTGTGCAACAATATGTTTTTAAATGCATCAACTTTTTCCTTTTTATTAAATATTTAAGACATTTTGTGGTTAATATTTTCCTTTTCTTTTATATATTTTATTTTATTTTATGTATTGTTAATATAATAATATTTGTTATTATAATGATCTAAATATTACTAATAATGTTTTACATGTAACAGTAAATTTGTTTATTCAGATAAATTGTAATATATTTTTCTTCTATGAAACATGAGAAAATAAATTTATAAATATTAAATAACTCTATTTGTTTAATATTACATACTTTATTACGCAATATGTACTTTTAACTGGAACTAAAATATATATATGTTCGTGTCTTTTTGACAATTATACTTTAAGATGGAGAGAGTGCAGCTACACCAGGCAAAACTTTTCCTTCGAGTAGTTCTAAACTTGCACCACCACCTGTGCTCACATGACTCACTTTATCTTCAGTTTTCCATTTAGCAGCACAAGTTGCAGTGTCACCGCCACCTATAATAGTAATCGTACCACGACCAGTAGCTTCTACAACATTATCCATTAAACTTTTTGTGCCTTTACTGAAATTTTCAAATTCAAACACTCCAGCTGGTCCATTCCATACTATTACTTTTGCCCTTTTAATTGGTTCTACAAAATGAATAGCACATATTTAGGATTTATTATAGTTATACATTCTTATAGATTGTAATAATTAAATTATTTAAATTACTAGCCTGCAAATAACTCTCTAGACTTTGGTCCAACATCCAAACCCATCCAACCATCAGGTATACCACCTTCTACTGTAGCTTCACCTACAGCAGCATTTTCTGCGAATTTATCTGCTGTTACAAAGTCCACTGGCAAGTGAATCTGAACATTATTTTTTTTTGCTTTTTCCAATAAATCATTTACAATTTTTGAACCCTCTTCATCAAACAAAGAACTACCAATCTATGAGAGATATAAATAATCCATTAAATTTTATCAACAAACAAGTTATATTAAATAATTCTTACTTTCATATTTTTAGAAATTTTTAAAAACGTATAAGCCATTCCTCCACCTATAATCATTTCATTAACTTTGTCTAGGAGGTTGTTAATTAATTGGATTTTATCCGCAATTTTAGCTCCACCTAAGATAGCTAAGAATGGACGTTCCGGATTATCTAAAGCTTTCGCAAAGTATTCCAATTCTTTCTTAAGAAGGAAACCACTAGCTCTAATATCAAATCCATCTCCCATCATCGAACTATGAGCACGATGGGCAGTTCCAAAAGCATCATTTATATAAACATCTCCTAATTTTCTTAAAGATGCCCTAAACTTTGTAACGCTATCTTTGTCAGCTTTAACCTATGATTAAGATCATTTAAATATAATGAACAAAAAAATTAAAATATTATGTCTCCATCGTTGAAAAATAAATATGTACTTTGCTTCCATCAGGACCAACTCCTTTTCCTTCTTCTTCAATATAGAATCTTAAATTTTCTAACAAAATAATTGTTCCAGGTGCAGGGTTAGCACAAGCTGCTTCTACATCAGGACCGACACAGTCATTCAAAAATTGTACGTCTTTTCCCAAAAGTGTTTTCAATTCATCCGCAACAGGTTTTAATGTATATTTCTCATCTTTTTTACCATCTGGTCGTCCCAAATGGGACATCAAAACAATTGATTTTGCTTTCTTATCAAGTGCATACTTAATCGAATCTAAAGCAGCTACGATTCTTTGATTGTTTGTTATTTTTCCTTCTTTAAGCGGTACGTTGAAATCCACTCTATAAAATATTGAATAATAAAATGATTTTTATTTTACAGATATTAATATTAATGTTATATTAATGTTCGTAATAAATGTATATATATAATAAGTAAATAAATTCAATAATTCGAGTAAAATAAACAGAATCAGAGGTTATCTATCATACGTACTATCAGTCATCTATCATTTTTCTAACCTCTTAGAAAAGAAAAATACTATAATCTAAGAATATATATATATCATATCATATATTTTATGAACGAATAAATTTATATAATTTAATATAATTTTCGTATATGTAATCATAAAAATATAATAAGACTGTAATATATACCGCATAAGAACCCTTTTGTTAGTGAGATCCACTTTATCTATGCTGAGTTTGTTTAATGCCATTTTTGTAATAGTTAAGCTTATTTTTCCCCTTTCACTTTTAGTTATCTTCAAATTTAAATCACTTTTAGATGATATTAGATAGAAATTATACACAACGATTCCTTCGGATGCTGTTAAGTGTCTTAAATAATGACTGATTCGTTCACCAAAGTCAAAGAAAGGTCGCCGAGCGTAGCGACATCCTGCAAGTTTTCGAATCGCGCGCATATCGTATTATATGTGATAAAATCTCTCAATACCATCACCACTTTTCATTATTCTGCAATTATCAAATAAAAGTTAATTATATATCTATATTTATCTTAAAATATAAATAATAGAAGAATATTTTCAAGTAATTCAGTTGGATATTTCATTCAATAAATAATATGTTTATTTAATTTATATAAGACGGGAGCGTTGGTTCCGTTTGAATCAAGTTGCATATTTGAATACAAATTTTAAATTAATTATTGAGTTTCATTAAAATAGGCCTGATTTAAAGAAAATGAAGAAATCTTATCTGATATATAATACATGAACTATGACGATATTACCCATGTGGATTCTTTTCAATTGCAACATTGATCCACCTGAAAGTCATCCAACTGAACCAGATCAATTAATTACGATATCGAATTAGAAGAGAAATCGATTGATGTTTTGATTATTTATATTAATATTTAACTTTTTAAAAATCATAAATTTAAATAATAATAATAATATCTTTTATGTAGCTGTGTTGTCCATACATTATCTCGATTATTATATCTTATAACTATTTTTACATATCGTTATAAATTATTTCTAAAAAAGGGGTAAAAAAAATTTTGAAACCCTATATTTATTAAAAATTCTGTATATGATGTATTTACATTACTGTGTCACACCCGCAATGTCTCTGCAATGCTAACCGCACCGATTTTACTGCAGACGGCACTTAACGAGAAATAAATACTTTTCTAATTGATTTATTTTCACAAATTTTTCATTGATATACGTAAAAGAAAATTGAATGATAAAAGAGCATCACGAAAGAAATAATAATAGAACAAATAATATTGATACAGTTTTAAGATACATTTTCGAATCTTTACATACTTATGTAGGACATGCTTTGATAAAAATATCCAACGGGTTGAATGACTTCGTGCGTTAAATCTATCGTTGACCTTCAATTTATTGCAATAAATAAAATTAAATTTGATCATGAAAACAATCGAATATGTCTTTTTTATTATAGAAAAGTAATAAGATCATGGTCACAGTATTCAAACATACAATTTAGAATAAATTATGTTCTCTTGATTTACGATTTGTAATTGTATTAACACATTCTCAGATAGAAGAATCATACTTGTTGGAAGTTTAATGACACGTTATAAACATGTGCAACGACTTGCAGGAATTTTCTTTTAAAATTACAGCAATGCAGTTGTCGAAAGCTATGTTTCTGAGGAAATATTAAATCGACGTCTGGTATCCTGGTATTCCGTTTGACCGCGGCTATTCTTGATCCTGGCCCAGTGGCACAGTCTACACTTTCGTTTGTCTTCAAAGTCGAAATTTAAACGTGCAGTATTTCTTCCTAAAGTTACAAAAAATGAAAAAAAAAGAAAAATCATCCCAGTAACATCTTCACCCTTTTCTATTTTACATTTTCTGTTCAAACTGATTTCCATATAATAATAGTGTAACATTATATGACTGTAATATTATTCTATTTAAATGAATTTTATTTTCCAGTTGATCAGAATGAACGAACTATTTTTTCTAAGAGATATTAAACTAAATTAAAGTAGGTTAATCTATCAACACCAATGAGAGAAAATTATCTTGCTAAAAATATTCTCTCCAATAAGACGTATGCATGATTTTTGTACGTTACTTAGATCGCTGTTAGCCAAGAAATAAAGATAGACAATCTTACAATATCTACGAAAGCAAAATATGCTTATTTTTGGATTTGTATATAGTTGTTATTAATGTAAAAGACAAAGGTTAATATATGAAATTTAAACACTGGACAATCTAGGGAAATTTACTGGTTGACGATTTATTGATCGTGTCTCGAAAACAGAATATGGCTCGTTCAACCATTTCGATTACTTCTTGAGAACCCAGTCACGCAATATTGTCACCCTACTTTCGGTATTCGTTCTTTAGAAAATAGATCATTTTCAGGACTGTGGAACTATGCGTCATGCTATCGATGCATGTCAATGAACCGTTTCACTTTCTTTACTATAAAGCTCCGTTGATCGACTGCCAAATCGAATGTCAATGGTCGAAGTAGTTCTCATAAATGAGAGGAGAAAGGAATCCCTCTCTTTCATTTCATTATCATTTAATAGCAAACGTTAATTGTGAATGGTGATTTTTGTCCCATCTACTGGATGATCATCTGACCCCTTCTTATCCCAAGCATTGCGACCTCTCGGATTGCTGATGCTGAAGCTCTTAAAACAAATAAACTACGAAGACCAAGCTCTAACTTCAACCAAAATAACTCAACTTTTCTGAACGCGGAGGCGGCTCACTTATAATGTTCCAAGGTATACTAAAGAATACGTTTAAAGGTACATATTGTAATTTCTATTGAATACCGTCCAACGAGACTACGTTGATTCGTGATGGCGACGACAGGACGTCATAGAAAAGATTTTGACAAGCTTTCGTATTTGGCATCACGAATTATCAGGTATCATAGATCATGAGGAGATCATGCTTGGGTATAAAAGTATAACTATATGAATTCACATTTACAAATCTATTAAGTAACATCTGTTAAAAGTGAAAAATAGTACATGAAATTATCATACTCATTATAAATGTATATAATAAATAATAATAGTAGTATAAATAATTTAAGGAAGTTAACCAAATGTTTTTGATAATTTTCAACGGATCATTTCACCTGTTTTACCACTAATATTTCGGTCTGCCTGAGTCCATTATCGTAGGTCGTTTTTGAACGCATAATTATATCCGCATTAATGGTGCCAAAACGAAGGCAAAAGTCGATGGTACGGAATGCATTTCTCGACTAAGGCAAACGAGTACAACACTCTGCGAATCGAGAATTGTGATGTTGTCTTAAGCTATTTTACACTTGTTTTGATCGTTCGAAACTTCACATTATCAAGTGATTTATTAGGCAAGAAAGAAAGCGAAATTAATAGATGATACAATAAATTTATACAGTAAGAAAAAGTCGATATAGGACAATCCATATAAGTACTTATATACCAACGATGGGCAAACTATGGTTTTCTAAAACTACCCCGTACCGTTCCCGAAACAATATTAGCTTTCACTGTCATTTTTCTTAAAATTAAATATTAATAATCCATAATAGAATAGCATGTATCAATATTAGAATATTTTACATATAAACGGGTTATTCATATTACCTTTTCAACCATCCATATCCTTATTCAAACTCCTAAAATGTATTATACATGGATCTTATTATCGAAGAAGTTACTTATCTCTGCTAAATGAAATGGATTACTCAAAATCCATAGGAGATTTTTGTTTATCGAAGATGTTGATTGTTTATTTATGCAGAAGGAGATTTGTTGTTTTTAAAGTTTTACGAAAAGACGATGTGATATACCGGGGAAGTAAAGAAGAATGGGAGGTAGGAGCAAGAGGAAGGGGTTGGAAGAAAAGGAATCGCGAAGACGGTGTCGGTCCAATGCCAGTGAAACTCGCCTCGACGAGCTGGGTTTGGCTCGGTCTCTCGAAGTCAAGTGCCGAGCGCCGAGTACTAACGAGTGCCGGGAACGTAGTTTTGTCTGCTAGAGGAGGCACATACTTCGTTAACGCTTTTAAAATCGTGAAATCGGTGCGTTCATCGTTCCGTGCGAATACAGCACGAAAGACCATTCCATCTTTTTTTCATTTCGTTTATCATAAAACACATTTCTATCGCAGTTCTCAATCACCTCTTAACGTCGAGTAATCGTTCTTTCAACGTACATTCATTGGTCCATTCTTTTTGGATCTCATCAACGAATCCTAATCCAACCAAAGACTACTACTATTCTACTTTTTGGTCACTGCACTCCGAAACTATGAAGTGGTACGTGTTATCACGATACACGATTCTTTCTTTTTCTTTTTTTTTTTTTTGGGGTCAACTATAAGCTTTTTCTAAGGATCGATTACACGATAAATATATATTAATCATTTTTTCGATCATATTTTTCAAACTTTTCTCCTTAAGCATAATCAAATACATACATAAGTTTCTTATCGTGTCGATAGGAAAAATTGAAGATAATTTTATGTAATCTTACTATATGTAAGATTAATATTAATATGATCTTTATATATATAATGAGAACATACTTTGATATAATGAATCAAGAGAAAAATATTACATATTTAGATTGGTACTTCTTTATTTAGCAGTATCTTACTTGTAAAACAATTTAAACTTAAGATCATATTATTTTGTGACACGTGCGAAGTTTTCATAGATCACACGATAAAACGATGACGTAATTATTAGACAAATCGTTGCGATTATGAATTCTCGATGAATACGATATAGTGATCTACTCTATATAGTATATCGACGAGGTGAACGCCTACGATTTTCAATAATTATATACACTTGTATTCGTTCTAGTATTCGAGGAAAATGATTTAATATTGAAACCTGATATCTCACTGACGCGATACCATATGAATTCGATTGAAAGATTAATCACTACGATTGGATTTTAATCGTAACATTTTGTATCGATTAATATCGAAAGTTTTTCTTTGTGTTTCATACGCGTAGAGTCAATCCATCGAACAGTTTATTTGAACTAAATAATTATAGAATCATGTATATCATTCGGGGAGTCAATTGTGCAGCAAGCGAAAAGTAATCGTAGTTATTTATGATCTTTAGGTACTCTAAAATAAAAAAACTTTGCGAAAAATTTTGCGAAAAAGTGCTGTGTTGGAGAGAACGATGTTGCCTGCTGTATCACACACACACACACACACACTGAGTGGGGCCGTTTAAAAATAGACGTTTAAACTTAAATTATGCCCTCTAGTGAAGGGAGCCGGTAGAATGGCGGTCAAAATTTCATAGTCTTACAGTAAGTTCCTTCGATCTTCGTCCATTTGTCGAATTGCGTAACAAAATCAACGTTCTTATTATAAACCCTTTTAATTTTTTTTTTTATTCGT